TTGAGTTGATCGCCACCCTGAATAGGGATGAAAATACATAAAGTGCATAGTGGCACAAGAGCATCTCTCCTTATATCTCGTCGAGGCGATATTTTCTCTGGCTGCGCAATGCGCAAAGTCCACGGGTATTCATCAATGGGAGTACTTTCGTGGTCATTTCAGTGAACAAGCAGCCCAGGAGAGACGAAGCGTCTCCTACTGCTTATACATTCTCGATAAGACGGTTTGCTGGACAACTGGCACATCTCCTAGCATACCAGCGTCCGATTTACTCTTGGACTATACGTTGGCGCCAGATGATGGCGGTACGATGGCCTATCTGTTTGCAAGAACAGAGTTGGCTGTCATTGAGGAGATGATTTACTTGAGAGTGTACTCCAATCAGGTCGAGGTGCGAACTGACGACCAAGTTTGCCAGATCGCGGCCAAGATTTCCCAGAGACTTCAAGACTGGCTGGTTAGCTGGCGCATCCACTTGAATGAGGTGGAAAGTCATCAGAAACAAGCCGTCTGGAAAGCCAAGCTGGCGGCCGACTTTCTCTGTGTGCAGTTGCTGCTCCTCTGGCCCTACAAGAACCATCCAGACGCACTATTCCAGCAGCAGACACACATCGCCAGGCGATGCATGAGGCTTGTTCTGCACCTCTGGCAGTCTACCCAAGAAGGAGGGCTTCATGTAGCCATCGCACGGTCAGTAGTGTACACTATCTCCATTCCTCGCCGCTTGCTTGTCTTTGTCACCAACTGGTTCAACTAGAAGCAAAATGCTGACTTTTGTAAATTTTCATGTAGCCTTGTTGCGTCCCATCCGCCGCTATATCTTCATGCTATCTATATGCAAGGTGCAAGGGGCAGGGGGCAAGAATTTGACCAAGATTTGCTGCGGGATTACACCGAAATGCTTGAAGTCATAGCCGACTCCCAGGGAGAAAGCTGCTACAACAGACGCCTGTGCCAGATTTCGCGTTTTCTGATGCGTGTAAAAACTACTCAAAATACGCCAAATAAGCGGCAGAAGCTCAACCCGCGTGCAACAAGCGCAACGTCGATTCCCTCCCCTCAGTCTGGGAGCAGTCTCTCGAATGGCTCGCCAATACAAGTACATTCTCCCAGTCGAACGCCTCGAGTCATGGCGCTTGAGCGGCACAATCCGGAAGGTGGCATTTCAGCTGGGGGCTTGGACGACTCACTCAACCTCTTGAGTCCCTCAGAACAAAGCAACATAGGACAATCTCAACTTCTGGCCGACGAGCTGGAGACTGCCACTAGTTATGCAAGTGATTTCTTGGGACAATACAATGTCGTAGACTTCGATTCAAGTGCGGCAGATGAGGAGTTTGGCGTCTGCGACAACTTGTGGTTGCAACAAGGGGGGTTGGGTCAGCCGTCAACATCACCTCCAGCGCGGTATGCAGTCGGAGCCGACTGGGGTATGACGGAGTTTCCCCGATTCCAAAGATGACGAGAACTATATTTTTCAGCTTTCTGGGGAGACACTATGCACTAAAACGGCGCACTAGCATTTATCTTGCAACTACGTCACCCTCCACGTCCTCTGTCAACATAGAGATTGGCGCTTAAAACGTATTTGAGAAATAAGCCACTCTTTGCCATTTTTCTTCTGAATAATAGCTCTCATGATGCAGTGTTCTAATTTAATGCTAGATTGATTGACCGTTCTTTGCACTGTAGCTTCGACTCATGAAACCTTGTGTTGTGCATAAAAAGTCAACTCATTGAACCAGTTGACCCATTTCCAAATAGTTCCCCAATTACTCCTAGAGCTTCTTTGCCACTGCTATGTGAAAACCCTCGCCCATATGCCCCCCAGGCCCTCAAGCGCTAGCAGCAGCCATCAAGGCGTAGATTTTCTGAGCGGCTTTGGGCGTCTTTCCCTTGACCTCCCCCGACTCCTCAATGCCAATCATCTCTTGTGCCCATTCGCATATGGTGCTGGCAAGCAACTCGACCTCGGCCTCCGTGTTGGCGCTATGAACCATGATCCGAATCCTGCTCTGGCCCTTTGGAACCGTGGGGTAGTCAATGGGGACGGCCGCAATTCCCGCCAACTGCAGATGGAATACGAGCCACCAGTTATACCGCTGCCGTGTCCAGAGGGGTGCAATGTGCGTCTGGAACTCGCGTCCTTCCCAATCGTCGACCAGAGGGATGGACAGAATCCCCATCTCGCTGGCTTTTTCCCACACAGGGTTCGACGTGATGGTTTCGAAAAAGTGCTTCACGAGATGCTGGATGCTGTTTTGTAACTAGAGACACATTGTTAACGGCGACTGACATAAGTTGAGACGCTGGATAACAGCCAGGTGGAAACTCGGAATAGATTGTCTTTATCGTCAAATACTTTACCTTTGTCGTTTCTCCGTTGCGCATCAAGTTGTAGGCTGCTCGAATACATGCAACCGAAGGAAAGGAAGGGCCAGTGGTGTAGATGACGGAGCGGGCAAAGTTGAGCAGAGCCGTTCGAACCGTTCCGTTGCTCAAAATGGCGGCTTTATAAACACAGAGGATCAGCATTGAGGCCCATATACAGAAACGGAAGATGAATTGTGACGTGTTACCTCCTGTCGAGGCCAAAGCCTTTCCATATGTATGGAGTCGAATAGCAATCTCCTTCTCGAGACCTAAGAGACTGACAAGTCCTACGCCCTTGGGCCCAATTATCCCCGTAGCATGGGCTTCGTCGACAATAAAGGCAAAATTCTTCTTGGGGCACACTTCCCGGGAAATCTCAAGCATCTCGCGTAGAGGGCAAACATCACCATCCATGCTGTACACGGACTCGACGGATATAAGAACCGTGCGCGAGCCGTCCTTGATCAAGGGCTGTGAGTCCACAAGTTCTACTAGCGCATCTCTCAAGGCGTCGACATCATTATGGCGGAAGGCAACCTTGGTCAAGGCCAGCGAGTGCGTCATGCCGTCATGGACGCTGGCGTGGACGAGCTCGTCGTAGACTATGGCGTCGCCGGGGCGTGGGATTGCCGAGTAGATGGCATTGTTAGCCTCGAAACCGGAGCCGACAATGAGTGACATCTCAGCGCCGTGGAAGGCGGCGATTTCCTGCTCAACTTGTTCAATGTAATCGTAGTTCCCGTCCACCAGGCGCGAACCTCCTGCATAGATGGGGAAGTCGGGGTTCCGGCCCAGCTCGTTGAGGAACTCCTTGCGAAGCAGTCCCGTCTTTCCCAGGGACAGAAGATCGTTGGAGCAAAAGTCAACGGCCTTGCCTGACTTCCAGGGACTCTTCAGACCGTTGGTGAACATGCCATGATCGGATCGCCGGAGGTCCAAAGCCTCCTCGAGGTTGCGGTAGAAGGTTGGTGCATCTTTCATCTGGGGCCCCTTGATCTTCTGAGCCTTGATAAAATCCGCCAGGAAATCCATGATTGTCGGGCGACGTGTTGTTATGACACCGGCAGTCCTTTGTGGAAATAATAACCACTCATCCAGTGAAGTCAAACATGTCCAACGCAGTAGTAGCCTGAGCGAAGGGGCTTGTACAGCTATTAAATTCTTACGTGCAGAGTAATTCTCCCGCTGTCCTCGACTCCCACGGGATCCGGAACCCGGGTTCCACCCAATCGGCCTGGAAGCCGATTGGTCAAGTCCGTCCCAATCCTTGGAAACGGCGTAGATAAGCATTTCATGTTGTACCCAGAAGACAAGCGATGGCCGAATTCTATCATTTGTCCTTGGAGATTGCTAAAGGCATCCCTTAGACTCCCCTTCTCAGCCGACAACCCTCACTCTCTCACCTGAGAGAAAAAGAAGGACGTGTGGATCTCTTGATGATGAAGCGACCCGAGGATTTTCGCGGAAAGGCAAGTTTTCTGCTCTGCGGGGATGTCGGACCTGAAATTTCTCTCATTGAGAGCTCTCAATCGATGCTAACATCATCAGACCGTCTTTGTTACCGGAGGATCTGGGGGATTGGGCAAAGCCATATCTCAGCAGTTAGCAGCCCGAGGTCAGCAGTGCCGGTATCCTAGGATGTACTTCTAGGACTAATCAGCATTCGCAGGGGCCCATATCACGATTTTCTCCCGCAGGCCAGACGCACTTGCCAGGGCCAGAGAGGAGATACTTTCTAAGTGTTTGAATGGGGATCAGGAAGTCAATACCGTCGCCATCGACATGGGGGATGCTTCAAAGGTGTGCCCCCATTCCGCATGGGGGCTCTAATTGAATACATACCTAACAACTAACCACCTGACCGGCAGGTTGACGAAGTATTTAGAAAACAGCCTCGGATTGCTGACGTCTTGTACTGTGTTGCCGGCGGTAACCATGCTGAGAACGGATTTATCGTTGATATTAAGGCACAGGCTCTTGAAAGTTGCATGCGGAACAACTACTTTACGGCCGTGTACGCAGCCAAGTCTCTGCTCGACATATGGACAGAGGATGATTTGAAAGGGCCCATTCATCCCCGCCCTGACCCCAGGATACGTCAGATTGTCTTTGTCACAAGCGCCGCCGCGTTTTTGGGTTCTCCTGGCTCCATTGCTTACACTCGTGAGTATTTCTTTACTACATTAATGACCACACTTGTGGCTGACGGCTTCATCTCCTCCAAGCGGCCAAGTGTGCAACCCGTGCCTTTGCGGATACTCTGCGGTTGGAAGTGCTGCGATACTGCTGCCCCGAATCGACCTACTCGATCCACTGCGCCTTTCCAGGGGACTTTGTATCCCCTGGGTTTGTCCTGGAACAGAAGACCAAGACGAATCTCACAAAGCGCATTCAGGGTCTCGACGGCTACACCATGTCGGAGCTCGAAGCTCGGTTCCCATCTTCGGACAAGATCGCTTCACTCATCACTTCCGCCGTGGACAGGGGCGATTTCATCATCTGTGACGGCTCGCTGGCTGGCTCATTGCTCTTCACCAACATGATTGGGCCGTCACCAAAGAGGGGATTGGGCATTGTGGATTCTTTGCTTTCCGTATTTACCGGGTGTCTTCTCTGGCCGTATCTCAGGTGGAAATGGGAGTCCATGACCCGCAGGGACGGCGAAGAGCACAGAAGAGCTAGGTGAGGGTTCAGGACAAAAGGTTCCGTGTACCTAGCCTCTGATTGTATTGACCCAGATCCAAAATGTCTGCCGTTTCATGTTCTATAGCATCAGCAGTCTATACTTGCGAGAAGCGGCATTAGTTCACTAATTGTAGAGACACTTTGTGTTCAATGACACCACCGCCATCGTCTGATGTCTCAACCCCGCATATGGTACCCTTCGGTGCCAAAAAAAGGCAAAGGAAACAGCGGAAGCTCTCGTATCCAAACTGGGCAGATGGTAACTAAGAATTGGGATATTCAGAGATTGACACCATCAACCAAACTCCCGTAGCTCGTAACTATTCAGCAACTTTGGTCACCACCCTGCCACACTGAACACCATCTTTCACAGGTACAATCTAGAAACTTCCAAGTCGAAAAGCCTCAAATGAAGTAATCAGATTGTCAAACACTATCTGTCTCTCTACCCAGTTACTCGGGCCGAATTCAATCTACCGAATTCAATCTACAATGGTCTAAAACAATTTGCCAACCGGGTCTTCAACTGGATGACTTTTCGCAAGGTCACGAAGATACTCCATCAGGCCATCAAGATCATCCAGTTCCAAATGCAAAGCCAGCTCGGTGTAATCCTTGGTCCACAACCCAGGTGACCCCCTAGGGTACTGGGACCGGAAACCCAAAAATCGCTGCGCCCTTGGAGACAGCTTCTTGGCAGTCTCTAGGGTGACAATGCTCGGATGCGCCTCGGATGGCGTCAGATAGCCCGCACAAATAGACAGCTGCAATGCCTTTCTCTCCTCTGTGGTTGTATTCGCACCCATGCCGTGCACGACCTTGCCACTCAAAAGGAGGCAGTCGCCCGGGTCCATGATGGCCGGGATCGTCATTTCCTGGTTGCCGCGCTGGTCAAAGGGCCACTTCTGACTCCCTGGGATGACCCGGGTCGCGCCGTTGTCCTCCCTGAACGGGCTGAGGGCAATCAGAAAGTTCATTTGCACATCGTCAAAGTCTGGGCCAAGCAAGACGGCAGGAGGGTAGTTGTTCAAGTCTCGATGCAGCTCCTGCGGGTCCTGCGGACCGCCGGCAAACAAAGTTGACCCCGTGGACAGCCAGTAATCGCCGGCGTTGCCTCCTGTAGTGTAGTTGCGGTGGCAGATGGCATGAACTAGGTCGTTCTCGAGGAGGTTCTCACGAAATACCTTGCTATGGTTGGCGAGACCGGCGGCGCGCTTCGTTCGGCGGCCGTGGAAGGCTTGAAGGAGCGGGTGGTCCAGCAGAGCGCCACGCCGAGTGTTTTCAATGACTTGTTCGATTTCAGACGTGAATTCGGCTACTTGACCAGGGGTGAGGAGGCCTTTGATGACAAGGGCGCCATCTTCTCCCCACTTTTGGAAGATTTCGTCCAAGGGGGTTTCTGGG